TGCGGCCCGCCATCGGTGTTCCGGGCCCCAGGGCCGCGCGCCCGCCCTAGGACTGTGGGTACGGCCGCCATATGTGGACCTTAAAACGCCTTGTAGCCTTTTGAAGCGCTTTGACATCTCTGAAGGGCTTTGTATTGCAAACTAAATCGAAGCGCTTTGTAGTCCCGGAAGCGCTTTGACATCTCCGAAGTAGCGCTGTGCAAACTGAAGCGATTGGTAATCGCGGAAGCACGTTGTGGGCTTGGAAACCGAACCGAAGCCTTTAGTAAATTTTGCAGCTTTTTGACTTTTCCGAAGCGCTTTGGCATCCCTGAAACCTAGAGAACTGTGATGGGCAGTGGAAAGAAAGGGGAAAGGTCAGTAAGGCCAGCCCCTGGCTCTGACCTTCTGGTTTGCCCTCGTCCAGGGATCCCGGGATGGCGGGATTCTGAGGGGAATATAGGAGTGATGGTGTTGGAATCAGGCCCTCTTCTTTACCTTGCAGGTGCCCATGGCGTCGGAGCGGCACAAGGTCAAGCACCATTGGAGCAGCACTTCGGAAGGGTGTTCCCGCAAGCGCAGCTGCCTCCGGGAGCCCAGTGATGTGGCCCCCTCCAGACGGTCAGCTCGTAGCTCTTCGTCGCGTTCTGGAGGGGCCAGCAGCCCCAAACGTCTGAAAGCCCAGAAGGAGGACGATGTGGCCTGCTCACCTAGGTTGTCTTGGGACTCATCCCGCCGCAGAAATTCCTCCTCTTCCTCCCATTCCTCAGGCCCAAGTGTGGACAGTGCTGCCTCCAAAGGCTGCCTGATTCGGAGCACTGGGCAGTTCCTTTCGTCAGGGGGATCCCCTCTGCGCCCTGCCAACTCCTCTCTAGAAGAAATGGCTTCTCTAGAGGAAGCCTGCAGCCTTAAGGTAGGCGGCTGCAACGCCTTGCAAGCGGTGAAGCCCATTCCACGTGACTTGAGATGTTGAGGATGGGAAATTTTGGTGAAAGGAGACTTAAAAAAAGCTCATGTCCTTTAGGGTCTCTGGGGTCTTCACAGAGATCTACTTCGTGTAACTATGGAAGACCGAGTAGTTGGTGGGGGGATGGCCTAAAGTACCCTAGAGGTAGTTTTCAAACCTGGCAGCACTTTGCAACTATTTGGAAAGCTTTAAAATACTGTGCCTGCCTCTCACCCTGATTTAACTGAGCCAGAGTGTGGTCTGGGCTTCCACATTTTAAAATGCTCCTCAGGTAATTGTAATGTGCACCCAGATTGGAGAATCGCTGCAGTAGAAGGTGGAGTGCATGCTCAAGACACAGATGTATGTATTTTGTTGTAAATTTAAGGGATTTATGTTGTATTTTGAACCACTCTGAATCACAGAACCAGAGAATAAGAATTTGGTTTTGGGTGTGACTTCACCAAAGTTAGGGTTTCTAGCATGTTGGAGTTCTGGTTGGTGGGGCAGGATAGTTTCTCAGGTTAAACATTTAATTCTCCCAGTGGGACACACAGGAGGGTTTCTCAGTATTTGCAAGTGAACTGAGGAGTGCTTCACAGATGGGGTTCATTTTATCCACTCATTCATCTTAATTAACCTTTTTTTTAAAAAGGAGTAATACAGCTTTGCGTGTATGAAAATTGAGCGTCAGTCTGTTGGAAATAGAAGCAAATACAATCAGTCTCTTGTAGTTTGCTATTTTTCCATTAGAGAGAGTAGAGCGAGCACTAGCTAATGTCACTGGCCATACTGTGTAAGCTTCATCCACTCATTCAATCAGGTTTTGAACAAATATTTATTGAGGGCTTAGTTTGTGCCAGGCAGTGTTCTAGTTGCTTGGGATTCTTCAATAACAAAACAAAGATCACTGCCCTCTTAAGGGTTCGCATTGTAGGTTTTGGAGCTTTGGGTCTTAAAAGGTGAGTTCTGCATGTCTAGGAGTGGAGGAAAAGTCTCTATTTGGAGGAGATGGGCTGTCCCTAGAAAAGCTATTTTACAAAAGCAATAAAAACAAGGCCCCAGGGAAAGTAGGTTTGTCCTTAAGTCTTTGCTCAGTGGTTTCTTATGTAGAACTGAGAAATGAGGCTGTTTTTACGGGTTTATTTTTGGGAACTCTTGGGCGAATGCCCCAGGTGATTTCACTGTAGACCTCGAAGAACCCTTGTATGGGCATTTGGATTTTTATTATTTTTTTTACTTTAACAGTAAATTGAAAAGCTTTTTCTTTGGCATAAGAATACTAAATATGACTCAGATGTAAATCAGGTAAATATGGGGCTTTGCTCATGCAATTTAATCTTGTCATTAATCCTTGATATAAGTTCAGTGGATTTGGGTGCAGTGTAAAATAATGTCAGTTCATTAACTTTATCTGTAATTGCCATTGAAGTTAGAGTGAAGCCTGGTATAAGGAGGGCTTAGTCTTTCTGGTGTGCTGCTTCCCAGGCTCACGTTGTCCTGCAGACCGGGAACTCAAGATTTAGGGTGTGGCCTCTAAGTCACGTGGGTCTTATCCTGGTATGGACTCATCTTGCCTCATTTAGCTCTAAGGGGCCTTGTTTTGCCAAAATCAATTTAATGGTTAAATTGGCATAGAGCAATGAGTATTCCGGGCCTGTATCAGAAGTCTTTGGGTTCATCATTGCATTGTTTTCTTTCAGTCAATGAGCATGTGAAGATTATTGTGTGCCAAGCATTCTGTTGGGTTTTGGAGTTATGAGATGGCTTCTGAGGAGCACGGTCTGGTGAAAGGCTTGGAGAAGTCATGATACTTTCTCACAATGTATGGTAGAGCAAAGAGCCCAGAATGGAGGCTAGAGAACTAGATAGGGAGCAGATTGCTGCAGAGTTTTATTTGCCAAAGAAATTTAGATTTTATTCTAAGCCATTAGAGAGTTTATACAGGACTCTACACAGAGGAAAGGCAGGTTTGCATTTTTGAAAGATAACTCATGTTGAGTGAAGTTAGAATATGAGAATGTTGATATTATCAATCCCAATGTCCATCTCTAGCACTGCTAAGAGGTTTCCCTAGAGTGTATTAGTTTGAAAATAAGGTATACAGTATTTAACTCATTTTGATGAATTATAAAATGCCTCTTATCTTCTCAGTTTATATATACCTCCTCCTTGCTTTCTCTGCAGTCATGTGTGAACTCGTTTATCTAGTAAGTCCTAAGTCTTGTCAGCAAGCAGAGCTGAGGGGCACTCACAAAAATGACATGTTCTCCTGTAGGTCCTTCCATAGTCCCCTCACCACGATCCTACCTACCTACCTACCCGCTCTTTTGCATTTGTTCTGTGGTCTTTGAGGGATACACACTTGGCTTTGTATGTGGTCACCCCTCCCGCCTCAGCACAGAGATTTCTGTGCCAGGTCAGAATATTCAGGGGGAAGAGATTTGTCTTAGTTCGTTTTGGCTGCTGTAATAACTACCACAGTCTGAGTAGCTTATAAATAACAGAAATTTATTTCTCACAGTTCTGGAGGCTTGAAGTCTGAGATCTTGGTGCCAGCATGGTCAGGTGAGGGCTTCTCATTGTGTTCTCACATGGCAGAAGAGGTCAAGGGAGCTCTCTTGGTGCCTCTTTTATAAGAACACTCATCCCATTTATAATGGCTCTACTTTCATGACCTGATCACTTCCCAAAGGCTCCACCTAATATCATCACTTTGAGGGTTGGATTTCAACATGAATTTTTGGGGGACACATTCAGACTATAGCTAGACTGGGCATTTTGGAATTACTAGAGATTACTGATGGCACCTTGTTTTTTCCTTAACATCTTTGAGACGTTTTCTCAAATTCTAATGGTAGCTGATGGTCTTTATTTACAGAGGTTAAATGTGTCTATTACGAGCACCTTCACCTACTTTATATTTAATCTTTATTGTGACATGTAAATTTTTATATTCATTATAGGGAAGGAACAGTGGGAGGGAAAATTTTAGCATTTATGATGTGATAGACCTTGATCAAATATGATTCTCAATATTTGACCTATAGACTTTCATATAACCTTCAGTCTTGTGAATTAGGTAGTATTATTTTTGCATATCAGTTAACAAATATTTATATATTGATTAACAAATCTTTGAGCACCTACTTTTTTGTAGGCACTGGGAAAATGAGACTCATAGAGGTTAAATAACTTCACCAAGGCCATGCAGCTTGTATATGCCAGAGCGGTGATGTAATCTAGATCAGTCTGACTTTAAAGCCAGGGTTCTTTCACTGCTGCCCTATGTAGCACTTGCTCTGTCCTGGCCCAGCACTAGATGTGTGGGATGGAGAGATGAAGAAGGCAAGATTCTTTCCTTGAGCTCTCTGCAGGGTGACAGCCCATTGTGTATCTTTACTCTTGACTGCTAGAACTTTCACGTGTGATCCTGTTTCCTGCATCTTCCCTCAGCAGGTGTCCAGATCTTGGGCTAGATGTGCAAAGAATAAGGCATTGGTTGACAGACTAAAAAATCATTTATTGCGGTGAATGAGTATTGTAACCTCGATATTTGAAGTACCAAGGGTCAGAGGAATGAGTGGCAAACCATAGACAAGTCCTCATAGAAGAGGTGCCTTTAGGATTCTGGGGGACAAGGAAGAAGAAAGGACATTTCAGGCAACAGGAACAATGTGTGTCCAAAAAATGTCAGGAAATATTGCTGTTTTGAAGTGCTTGGGACGCTACAAGTTCCTATGGGTCCTCCTTCCTCTCTTCTCTAGCACCTTTCTTCATTTCCTGGACACCTGGGTATGTGGAGAAGGGTAGGAGATGGTGCTGGAAAGGAAGGTTGGGGGCCAGCCTGGAAAAGACTTCTAATGTCATACTAAGGAGTTTGAGATGTATTCTGTAGGCAAATGCAGAGCCATTGGAGGGTTTTATACAGAGGTGTGACATTGCCAGATTTTAGAACTCTTTCTGGTTCACTGTAGAGAAAGGATGGGAGGGAAAAGGCAGGGAGCTAATTAGGAACTGTTCAGGCTGGTGTTGATGAGAGCTGGAATGACATCTCCACTTGATCTTTCCCTTCTGCCTTCAGAGGTACGCAATTCACTAAGCAGTACTGCCAGGAAAAACTAGATCTCTGCTTTTTGAGGCCAGGTCGTTTGTTTCTGCTTTCGTATATTCTGCCTAATATTTCCTTAATAACCTATTCGCTGTTGAAACTCTTCTTTGGTGACCTGGATCCACCTTAGGTCCTCATGGTCTTTGACATCTCAGCCTTTGATAGTGTTTCTTTTTTTTTTCAGGCGAGCAACCCTTGGTTGACCTCACAGATTGCAAAGACCTTGTCAATTTACAATCTCTTATTTTTTAATTTTTTTTCTCCTACAGCAGCTGGTCTTCCTAGGTGGTCTCCCATAAATTTTTTTCGCCTACAGCAGCTGGTCTTCCTAGGTGGTCTCCCATCCAAGTACTAACCAGGCCTAACCCTGCTTAGCTTCCAAGATCAGACGGGATCGGGCTTGTTCAGGGTAGCATAGCTGTAGACTGATAGTGTTTCTTAACTTCCATATTTTTGCTTTTCTCCCTTGGTTTCCAGGGTGTTCAGGGAAATTTGAATTTAAATCCTGGTTCTGCCACTTAAAATCCATGTGGCAGTTTCTCTTTCTGTAAAGAGGGGTGACAGCTGTGGCAGCTCTATAAATCGTAAGTCCCTGTGAAAATATAAGGTATATTGTTATATTCCTAACCTTTTTCCTCCCCCAAGTATAGTCCTGGTCTTCTCTACCAGGGTTTGTAAATTGGTAGTCTATAGGCTGATGTGGGCTGCTAGTATTTACATTTTTAGAAAGTTTACATTGAAAGTATAAGCCTCTAGTCCAGAGCTTTGCCTTGAACTCAGACTTGAGTGAACTCCTCCCGTTTCCCACTTTCTACTCTGTTCCTGTTTTATTTTTTACCCTACTACTTTTCACTCTCTCAACATATATACTGCTTTTCCTCTGGTTTTCCCTTCTCTCACCAACTAAAATATAAACTCCAAAAGACATGGCATTTTTGTATGTTTTATTGAATGCTAAACTCCATTGCCTGCTGGCACATAAGATGGGCTCAACAAATACTTGCTGGCTGGATGAAAAATGCATTAAATTTGAGAGTTCTTGTTTAACTTGAAAAATCAGAATTTATAACTCTGGGTCTGTACTCTCAACCTGCTTGAGGTGAGGAGCTGTGGCCATTCAGAAGGTACAGGAGCTCCTCAGTTTGCTGTAGACCATACTTTCTTATGTTGTTTTATACCTAATTTGAGGGAGCAAGAGATGGACATGTGTTCCCACAGGCAGAGGTGGGAAGTCAAAGAAGGGATGTAGGGCTTTAAAGCATAAAATGAGAATGAAGCAGGGGAAATAAGATATGGCATTTACAGTGTATAAGAGGGTGTGATGGGCCAAGAATGGCAGGTGGTTGATGACAGTCAGAGAAGTGAGTAGTGGAGAAGTGGGCTGGGAAGTTGTGGCTGTGTCTTGTCAGGTTGGCCCAGAGAGACTTCAAGTTTATTTTTAATATTTATTAGATTTTCTTAAATACAGAAAGGTATAAAAACAAAAATGGCCCATGATCATTCCCAAATAATTCCTGTAAACATTTTTTAAATTTATTTCTCAATTACAGTTGACATATATTAGTTTCAGATGTACAACATAATGATTAGCCATTTATGTAACTTACAAAGTGATCACTCCCATAAATCTAGTACCCATATGACATCATACATAGTTATTGACTGTGTTACCTAAGCTGTACTTTACATCCCTATGACTCTTATAACTAGCTATTTGTACTTAATTCCCTTTTTTCACCCATCCCTCCACACCCTCCCATCTGGCAACCATCAAAATGTTCTTTGTATCTATGAATTTGTTTCTGTTTTGCTTGTTCATTTATTTTGTTTTTTAGTTTCTACATAACTGTGTTTGTTTCTGTGTATTATGTAGGGTAGCTATGTCTCCTAGTCTTAGTAGAGTGGCATTATGTAATAGGTGTCCTGTGGAGCCTAGGGACGCAGTCTCCCTGGTCACCTGAGCCAGGTGCTCCAGGTATATCTCTTCTGTGGGTTGTGCCTCCTGTTGTAGTTGAGCCTTGATTGCTGTTGCTATGTCAACAGGAGGGCTTTACTGTCAAGCTGATTGTGAGAACTGGCCGTGACAACAGTGGAGGAGGTGTTGTGTAGGGGCTGACCCTACAGGGCAGGATTCACTTTAGCAGGGGCTCTGGTGCAGGCCAAGGTCAGCCGCTGCTTGTGCACTGCCTGGCGCCACTTGGTATGAGCTACAAAGTGATTGCAGATGGTTGCCACTTGTGCTAGGCTTGGAGGTGCCTGGGAGAAGCTAAGCTGTGAACTGAGGCCGGCTGCTGCTAGGGCCTGGCTTAGCAAGAGGTATGGGGCACACCAAGGCCAGATGCTGCTTGTTTGGGGTTTGTGAGCCTTTGAGAGATTTTATGAAAGTCCTCAGCATGAGCCAAGACAGGCCATTTGTATGCAAAAGCCACTGAAAGTGACTTGAGTGGGCCCAAAAGTTGGTTGGGGCAGGGTCTCAGGGAATCACTAGGGCAGGGCAATAGGTGTTAGCTAGGTTAATGGAGACTCAGATATGCTGCTCACTTTCCTGTGCAGGCTGATTACCGGGACGGCTTAACAGAGGAACAGTGGCTTCTGCCAGCATTTTTGTCTGGGAGAAAGGTGTCCCTCTAGCCCTCGCCCTGAAGCTGAACAGTTCAGTTCCTCTCTGTAGGTCCTTGGCACCTTTCAAGCTGCTGCCCTAGTGCTAAAGCTCTGAGTGAGTGAGTTCGTCAGCAAGTCCCTGTGTGGGCCCTTTAAAAGGAATGCCTGGGACTTCAGCTGCCCTGTGTCTCAGCCACAATCCCCACTGGATTTTACAGCCAAAAGTTATGGAGACTTCTCTCCCCAGCACTGGAACCCCAGGCTGGAGAGAGAGGTGTGGGGCAGGGAGCCTGGTGTGGGGCTAGAACTCCTCACTTCTCTGGGAGACCTCCACAGCTGAGATATTCTCCCAATTTTTAACTACCACATATGATGTGGGACCAGCCCGTTCCCCATCTCCGCCACTCCTACCAGTCCTATGTGGCTTCTTCTGTGTATCCTTAGTTATAAGACTTCTAGACTTCAGGTGATTCTTAATGATAGTTGTCTTGTAGTTATAATTTTTATGTGGTTGTGAGAGGAAGTGAGCACAGCATTTACCTACTCTACCATCTTGACCAGAAGCCAGCTTTTTAAAAAAAAAGTCTAACATGTTAGAAAATTCAGAAATTCAAAGTAAAAGTCACCTTTCCTGTCCATGTCTCCAGTGTTAATAGTTGATAACTAATTTGAGTACTTCTAGGAAGAAAAAATTATACCTATACTACTTTCTAGATTTATATTTTTTGAAAAGCTTAATGATTTTTTTTTTAACATACAGAGATGTTATGTGCTTCTTTGGAAAAAAATTCAAATAATACAAGAAGTGTATAAAATAAGAGCCTAAGCCCCTTTTCTTTTTCCCCCTGATCCCCAAAGATATCCATTAGAAATAGTTTGTTTTTCAGACTTTGTTTGAAAATATATACATGTAAGGCATTTTGGGCATTTCAAACATGAAAATTACAATGTACTCTTTAGCTACTTTTTACTTTTACTGTGTTGCATTGACATCAGAGCTCCCTCATTCTTTTTAAAAGCTGTATCATATTTGTTTAACCAGTCCCTTATTGATGGACATCTCTTAGAATAGATTGTGTTTTTCTTCAGTAGAGGAAAGGATTAGCAAGCTTAGTGTGGAGTTCCTTTCTGTAATTGTATGTACATTTGAGAGGAAGTTAATACAGATGAATTAGAGATACAAGTTGTAGAGGCTGTAGAATCCCTTGGGGTGATGGTAAATCCAGCTTGGGTATTTGGAGTTCACTGCTTTTGGGATGGATCTGGGGGAAGATTTATGGAGCATTATTATACCAGGCTGGGATTAGACTGGATCTGAATTTCACAGCAAATTAATATTGTAAGCAAATAGTCTAGCTTATTCCCTGTGGACTCCTGGAATGAGTGGGTACAGAAGGGAAAAGCAGAAAGGGACCGAGACTTCACCCGAATTTCTGAGGAGATTTGGGGTCAAGGGGTAGTTAGGATCTCTTGATTGACCCTGGTGCATTCTCTGGGAGACAAAGCATCTTATAACACTAAGATTTTGATTTGGGCAAAGGAGTTAGAAAACTTCAAGGAGGCTCGGAGTTTAATGGGAAGCACACTGCCCTCAAGAGTCAGTAGATTGGTGTCTCCTCACAAGGCCCTTGGGTTTCCCTGACTCTTAGCTGCGGGATAGGGTTAGCTGGTTTCTAGGGACCCTCCCAGTACTAAAATGTTGAGCTTCTATTTTGCCTGTGTGTGTTCTGAAGTACATGGTAGTCCTTGCCCTCAAGGAACTTTTAGACTTATGTTAGTAGACAGTTGATCTGTCAGCTCATTCCTTCCCACTGCAGTATGAGGATATTATCTCATGAGCATGAGAAGGTGAATATTAAGAAATGGCAGCAGTTCAGCCCTTCCTACAGTGGCACCTCTCAGTGGGTGGGATGTAAACTACTACCTAGAGAATCTTTGTCTTTGCCACTACCACACTGCCTTTTATTGGTGGAGCCCCTACTGATTTCTGATTTGCCAAGTGCTTCATGCGTGAAGTTGCCCTTTTATGATCTCTGGTTTTTCTTCCAGGTTGATTCCAAAGATAGTTCTCGTAATTCCATGAACTCTGAGTTTGCAGCTGAAGCTGACGGTCAAAATGATACAATCGAAGAACAAAACAAGGTTCAGAAAAGGAAGAGGGATAGACTTCGAGATCAAGGCTCTACAATGATCTATTTGAAGGCTATCCAGGGTATCTTGGGAAAGTCAATGCCAAAAAGGAAGGGAGAAGCTGTCACTAGGGCAAAACCAAACACAGGAGAGCGTCCTAGCCGCGGAGAAGGCCCAGCCAGAAGCGTTACTGTGTCTGCTCCTCCAAAAGAGAAAGAGTCAGCCCCAGAGGTCATAGCAAAGGAGGAAAAGGCTGTGCTGGAGAAGAGCAACTTCTGCAACAGGAGAGTGGTGATAGACCCTCAGGAGAAACCCAGCGAGGAGCCACTTGGTGACCGAAGGACAATCATTGACAAGTGCTCTCCAACCCTAGTATTTTTGGATGACTCCGACTCTCATTTAGAAAGCCAAAAGGTGAGTTGAGCTCATGCCAACCATGGGGTTTTTCGTGCTCTTGATTAAATGTAGTATTTGGCCTTTCTAGTTTGATCCTAAGTGTTACTCATTAAAAGCAGTAATTTACTTACCTAGGACTCTAGGAAAAAATTGATGGTTCTCTTCTAACATACTTTTCAGAGTTATTAAGAAACTTCAATTCAGTGCTATCTTTTTTCTAGGATCTATATGTTTGTTAGGATATGGGTTTGCTTGCCATATAAAAGCCAAAGTAACAGTGACTTACAGAAAATAGAAGTTTGGTTTAGGAAGATAGCTTTCCAGTGTCAGGGACCCTGGTGCCTTCTCTCTTGATGGTCTGCTGCCCCTCAACAGTTTCCATGTTGTGGTGTGAGATGGTTACCCTGATAGGAGTCACTACATTCCACTAATAGTCTAGCCAGTAGGAAGAGGAGAAGAGAAGGGGAAAATACACTTCCTCTCTTTTAAAAGCTTGGTTTAGAAGTTGTCCACATGGTATCTGCTCATATCTATTGACAAGAATCTAGAAACCTGGCCAACACCTAGCTGTGAGAGAGTCTGGAAAATTAACTTCCATCTGGGCAGACTTAGACACCGAGGTAAACTTCCATTGCTATAGAAGAAGGAGAAAATGATATTGGAGGGAAAGTAGTAATTTTTAACATAACTTACAATTGGTGAGTCGGAGGGAACCATTCCTCTGTTCTACTCATCTCTGTTCATCCTTTACTATTTCTCCTCAGAGGCAGCCCTTTCATCTTGTTTAGCTCTTCTAGTACTTACGTCCATATTTCTAAGTAATTTTGTACTGTTTATTGATTTTTCAATTCTAGACGTCTGCGGACTACTAAAGAAGATGAGAATTTATTTTCCTACACTTAAGCAGCACCATGAACATATTCCTTCCTTCCTGCAGCTCCCTGAGTTATTGGAGTATAATTTTTGACTAAATCTAAGACTTATTATTATGTTCATAGCTGAGTCACATAATGTACTCTGGTTACGTTTCCTTTCTTATAAAAGTTTATTTTCCTTGGTGTTCATCAGTACCTTGTTTTTTTCTTTTAGTTTTCTCTGTACCTATCACTAATTCATCCGCAAACTGCTGGTGCCATAAAATTCTTTTCAGTATTCAAAATAAGGAATCTGTCCCATTTTTTCCCTTGGAGGTGTGCCTCCCTTAATTGTTTCCTTTGGATTCCTTTTTTCTCGATTTTTTTCATCTCTGCTTTCTTTATGATTATATAGGGTGAGTATATTAATAATACATACTTTTTTTTTTTTCATTTTGACATACTTAATTTCTAAGAACACTGGTTTAGTTTTTTGAGTATTCTTTTCTTAGAACATCCTGCCTTTGTTTTGAGGTTAAAATACCTTCTCTTATCTCTCTGAGAATATTAATTATAGGTTTGTTTTGAAGTTTTCTTCTGCTTTCTCTCTGAGTTTCCTTCTGGCTCTTTTTATTTTTTTCTCTAAATATTTTGGTTTCTTTTGTGATAGGGCTTTTCTCACATGTCTTGGCTATCTGTTCATATTTGAAGATGAAGCGTTAAAAAGCCAGTTGGAAGTTCAGAGTACATAGATAAGCTCATGAACTGCTGACTTCAACATAGGGCAGTGACTTTGGATAACTTTTTGGGCTCTCAGTTGGATCTGTAGCTTAATCCTCAGAGGCCGCTCAGTGTCCCCTGAGAGAAATCTCCCTAGGAGGCACTGGTGTCTGGAGTCAGGTTGAGGGAGGTGCCTAAGCTCTCACTGTCCAACATGTGATTGCCCCTCCACTTGACTATGCGTCCATTGTCTCTGATTGTTCCACAGCCTTCCTGGTTTAACTTTTCCAGGCATGAACCTTAAGTCTTTTGCTGAATGGAGAAAGGGCTCCCACAGGATGGGAGCAGGGAATTGGGGATCTAAACTCACAGTCTTCCAACTCATTTTATTATTGTTATCTCCACCTTCACCTTCATTTTGAGATCTAGTACCTCCAATTCCTGAGTCCTTCTGGGGTCCTATAGTGTGATTCAGCCTGTTTCTGGGTTTTTCTCACTATAGTCTTAGATTTTTGGCCATCTGTGATCTGCTTATCTAATAACTGTTTATTTATCTGCTTTCTAGCATCTGATTTTTATTTAATTTGCTCTGCTGTTTATTCTATATGCTTTCTCTTTGTAGGTTCATGCCTTTTCAGGTCCATTTCCAAAGAGTTTTTTTGGCAGGAAAGACAAACCACATATGCTTTATTTAATTGTAAATTCCAAGAATAGTAGAGTTTATGAACTACCCTTTACTAAATTTATAATGGCTATGTTTCTGTTTAATGTAGGTCATCATCTTGTTTGGTTACCTTGAATTCCATTGCATAGATGACCTTTCTACACTTATATACCAAAACTTCAGTTTGACAGACTAGATACTTAGATTGTCTCTGTTAAGTATATATATGGAGGCAGCATGATATGGTAAGGATATGAGTGTTGGGATCAAACAGATAGGGTTCAAATCCTGGCTCTGCCACCTGAACTATAATCGTGAGAAAGTCATTTAACCTCTTCGAGCCCCAGTTTATTCCTCTGTGTAAAAAGGCAGGGTTCAGCAAACTATTTAAGTGAATTGCTTGACTGTTTGGATAAAACTTTATTTATACCAACAGGCAGTGCATTAGATTTGGCTTGTGAGCTACAGTTTACTGAACCCTGAATTAACACATGAAAACACTTGGCTCAGTGCCTAGTGTATAGGGCTCTCAATAACTGTTACTTTAAATTTTATTATATGGACTTGAACCTAAGGCAGAATATAGGTAATCTCCATTTTCCCAGAAAAAAAATCCAGAAACTTTTTCTTGGCCAACTTGACTACATAAAGCCTTTCAGAGATTTAGATGACATAATCATAAGTCTATTTATGCTATATGTATTTCTACTTAAACGTGCGTTTTTTTTTTTTTAATGCCTACAGCACCTGGTATTCCTAGGTGGTCTCCCATCTAAGTACTAACCAGGCCTGACCCTGCTTAGCTTCTGAGGTCAGACAGATCGGGCATGTTCAGGGTGGCATGGCCGTAGACCTACACGTGCATTTTTCAAATCACTTTTTCCCCCACCACCATTTTTCCCACTCTCACATTTCATTAGATAATTTGATTAAACCTTTCACATGTGTCTTGGACGTGGTCAAAATTACAGGGAGACTTGAATACAGATTCTTTGGCCTCGCTCTGGACTTACTGACTCACAATATCTCAGGGTCGGGTAGACCTTAAAAAGCTGTGTTTTTAAAAAGTTCTCTACTGGTTCTGATGTGAAGCTGAGTTCATGAACCATTGCACCATTTATTCTACAAATTAATTCAAGTGTTTATGAGCATTCACTGTATGCCAGACACTGTTCTAGGTGTTTGGGAGACATCAGTGAAGAAAATAAAAATTCCTGACCTTGTGGAATTTATGTTCTAGCAGTGCTAACTTGATTTAATGCAACGTATAGTTGTTCCAGTTACTATGGCACCTAGTAGTGTAAAATCACCATTTTATTTTGTTCTCAGTTTTGTGAGTCAGGAATTCAGAAATGTCTAAACTGGGCAGGTCTTGCTTTGAGGGGGGGGCTCTCATTTAATTCTATTCAGATATCAGGGGGGCTGCAATCTGACAGCTCAGCAAGGCTGGATGTTCAAGATGTTTGTTCACTCATACCCCAGGCAGTCGATGCTGGCACCTACATGTGACCTCTCTAGCATGTGGTTTTGGGCGACTTCTTATATGTGATTGGCTTCCTTCAGAGGAGCAAGCTCAGAGAACCAGGGGAAGCTACAAGGCTGTTCTGATCTAGCCTTGGAAGTTGTATAGTATCACTACTGTATTCTCTTGGTTACAGGTAAGTCATTAGGCAGGCTCAGGTTCAAGGGGAGGGGTCACAAACCCTACCTTTCAATGGGGAGTAGTGTCAGAGAAATTGCAGACATATCTTAAGACTACCACAACCGTGTGTGGTTTTGCATTTCAAATGTTTTAGAGACAAGATGCCTGGCACTGCTCTTCTCCAAAATCTCCAATACACAGTGTATTCTAAGGTAGCAGTCTTCAACATTTTTGGCACCAGGGACCAGTGCTCCTATGAGAATCTAACGCCTGATGATCTGAGGTGGAGCTGAGGCTGTGATGCTAGTGCTAGGGAGCAGCTGCAAATACAGATGAAGCTTTACTTGTTTGCCTGCCACTCACCTCCTGCTTTGCGGCCCAGTTCCTAGTAGGTCATTGACTTGTACTCTTCTTCCCGGGTCTGTGGCCCAGGGGTTGGAGACTCCTGTTCTAGAGAGCAGTTTCTCAAGAGGGATCATTCAGAAAAAGAGTGCAGGTATAGCATCCTCTTTAGGGATGGCATGAGTTTATTCCCTGAACCTGATTTGACTGTTCATAGTTGTAGCCTGGCTCACTTTCTGGAAATTATAAGGAAACCAGGTTACAAAGAGAGCCAGTGAGCCAGTACAAAACCTTCACCGTGGCCACAATACAAGCTAGAGCTTAAGTTCTGCACATGACTGAGTATGGGAAGCTGTCTTTACACAGGAAGGCTAACCCTTCGTTTTTTTTTTTTCCTTCAGCCTAAAGAAAGAGAGGTGGTGATAGAGCACACCTCTTCGGGAAGTGACTGGTCCGATGTGGATGATGTCTCCACAGTCAGATTCTCTCAGGAGGAGCCTGTTTCGCTGAAACTCTCAGCAGTTCCAGAGCCTTCTGCCTTCCCCACTGACTATGTCATGTACCCGGCTCATTTGTACAGTAGCCCTTGGCGTGACTATGCTAGCTATTGGACCAGCAGTGCCAAGCCTTCAGGCTACCCCTCCATGGGCAGCAGCAGTAATGACACATTGCAAGCTAGTAGGAGCAGTCGGGGCCTCCAGAGTAATTATTCCTCCAATTCAAGAGTGAGCTCCCAAGACACCTCCAGAGACCTGGAGGTAACAGAAGAAGGAACCTCCCCAAATTCTCGTTCATTTCGTTTCTCCAGAAGCTTGGAAGAAGTCAAGGAGAAAAGAACATTCCAGGAGGAGACGCCACCCCGTTCTTGTGAAGGACGTGCATCTAGCTCCCTGCCAAGGAACCATCGGGAGCCAAGCCTAGAGGAGGGTTTCATTGATACCCATTGTCACTTGGACATGCTCTATTCCAAGTTGTCTTTTAAAGGGACCTTTAGCAAATTCAGAAAAATTTATAGCAGCTCCTTCCCTAAGGAATTTCAGGGCTGCATCTCTGACTTCTGTGATCCCAGGACACTGACAGATTGTCTCTGGGAGGAGCTATTGAAAGAAGATCTGGTATGGGGGGCCTTTGGCTGTCATCCTCATTTTGCACGTTATTACAGTGAGAGTCAAGAAAGAAATCTTTTACAAGCCTTAAGGCACCCCAAGGCTGTGGCATTTGGGGAAATGGGCCTGGATTACTCTTACAAGTGCACCACGCCTGTCCCAGAACAGCACAAGGTAATGAGGTTCTCTTTAGCTTGCTTAGTTTTAATTCCTGTTGTTGAAATCTAACAATAAGGGTTTCTCTACTTTTGGAACTAAAGAATTTAGAATCCCTAAAAATTTAATTGCTTTTATCCAGACTATCCAGATGTCATTTTTTCAAATTCTTTACAAGCTATTTCTTTCAGTTTTATTATGTAAGAGATGAGGGATAAACACTTTGTTGCTTCTTATGGCTGATGAAGTCTCAAAACATTTCCTTCTTTCTTTGGAAGCAACAAACTTTGTGTTAGTTTAATAATATATTTTTATTCTGATTTTAAAGTCAAATATGCCTATTGCAGAATATTTGGAAAATACAGAAAGGTATAAAGAAGATAATTTCTCATTTCATCACAAATAACAACTATTACCATCTTAATATTTTCTCTCCCAATATGTTTTGAGTATGGAGATTTGGCAGAGTAGGAGTAGTTGTAGCATTTTAATGGAAGTTTCTGATTCAGGGAGGAACAGGACAAGGAGAAAGACCCTCCTACTCCATCACTATCCACATTGCCAGGTTGAATTTGTTGTATGCTGTGTTCCTTTTGATACCTGTTAGGTCTGGGTCTGAATGCTCAGTATGCTCCAAACTTTAGTGAGCATGTCTGTGGATTTCAGCCGGGCAGAATTTGGGATGCCAGCATTTCCATAAGAAACGTCAGATGTTCAGATGTTTCCAAAGAATCATCTTTTAGATGTTTGCTAGGACCTGTTAATGTTACTAAATTAAGAACAGGATGATTATGATTTTGACTTGAAGATCTACATCAGATGGGTGAGATTTTATTTGTATGAATGTTTTCAGTTTTTGACTTTAACGAGTTTCTAGTATAAATAGTATTTCTATTCAGAGTTAGGTATGTCTTGTACATTCAGACAACCTCTTGCCTATCCAAAGTTCCTTTTCATTACCAACATTAGGAAGCTTACAATTTCTGACAAGGTGGTAATTTATTAGCCAAATATAAATAGAAAAATAGCTAAATCTGAAGAAAGAAAAACATTGATTTTTGAGAGACAAATATTTAATATTCTGCTTTCCAAACTGGTTTCTATGGCTCAGGGCAGGTGTGGTATGGAAAGAGGAACAGTTCAGAATGTGTACACTAAGGTGGTTAGAAGGTGGGAGAGGAGTATTACATTTAATTGTATAGCTCATGTTTAGTGAATGCCTACTGTGTGCCAGGAAATGTTAAGTATTTCACAGTAACTTCCTTTTATTAAATCATCATGGTATCAGATCTGCATATAGAGGTACCTAGGACATTCCACACAACAGAGTGAACTTGAAGTTATAGCATAGGGTGATAAATAGAATCTTGTGGGTATCATTTAGCTCAGTGAAGTGGGATTCGAGACTAGAAAATGGCAATTCAGAGGAAATAAACTGCTGGCAGGGGGAGGGCAGAGCTGCATGTACAGAAGAGGAAAATATTTTTGTAGAACACTGGAGACTTCCAGGCTGGACAGAGGAAGTGGATGCCATGGTGTTGATGTAAATCTAAACTTGGGCACCAAAACGAGAAGTGATGGCTAGCAACTGCCCTAGCTAAATGTCTGCATTGAGTTGTATTACCTAAAAGAGTGGTTGGCAGGTTCTTGATGTGTCCTGC